ACCAAATAACCTCTACTTTTTCTAAATTTTAACTGTTAGAATAAATTTCTTTTTAACTGACATGACAACAGACACAATAAAATAAAGATATATTATAAAAACAGATTTTTACATTCTTACATGATTCTCAGATTTATAGAATAGAGATAGTTAAATCAAATTATCTTTAATAATTTATTTATATTAATTTTAAAGTTTTAGAGTTTTGTTAAAAAAAGATTTTCTTTTAACTAAAAACCACACCTATACTGAGAGTAATTAAACCTTATTAAGGTGCTTCTTATTTGGCATGTTTTTTTTAAAATTAATTTTCCTAAATTCCTAAATAAAAACTACATAGGTTTCATGGTTACATACAAAAAATGTACAATAGTTATATAATTATCTTTTTAATGAGGTAACAACAGCCAACAAAATCACTGAAATTGTTTAACCTTATTTTAGAAATATATCTATTATTATAATTTGGGATATATTATATACAATATAAATCAAAAAGGGATAAAAATTAAAGACATTAATAAAATAGTTCTTCTGATTAGTGATGAAGTACATGTATAAAGTAATACCTCCTGCTTGGGGCAAACTCATGAAAAAGATCACACCTGGTCAGAGAGTATTAAATTCTAAATAACATTCATTCAAAATTGCAACATCCTGTGAAACTTAATCGCAAGGCCTTTTGAATTCACTAGATAAGTAATACACGAGTTTAAGAAAAATAGGGCTTTCTTTTTACCTGTAAAACACACATGTACTGAGGTAATTAAACCTTATTACAGTGCTTCTTGTATGCCATGTCTTTAATTTTGACAAAAATTATTTAAATTTAATTGAAATAAATTTTTACTCTAACTTTGGAACACATTTCCTTTTTTAAAAGTTTATCACAGGACTACTATGGAAGTTCTATTATCATGATTATATTAAATTCTTGGTTTAACAAAACAAAGGTGTCATTTTTATACGACCGCAAAAAAATTTTTGTGGTCGTATATTGGTATGGCGTTGGCGTTGTCGTCGTCGTCAAATGGCGTCGTCCGGCGTTGTCCGAAAACACATTGGTTTTCGCACTCTAACTTTAGTTAAAGTGAATGGATCTCTATGAAATTTTACCACAAGGTTCAATACCACAAAAGGAAGGTTGGGATTGATTTTGGGGGTTATGGTACCAACAGTAAAGGAATTAGGGGCCAAAAAGGGGCCAAAAATAAGCATTTTTGTAACTTCCAGACATAACTTGTGTGTTAGTGTATGGATATCTCTAACATTGTACCACAAGGTTCCATATTACAAAAGGAATGCTGGGATTGATTTTGGGGGTAATTGCCTCAAAATTTTAGGAATTAGGGGCCAAAAAAGGGGCAAAAAACAAGCATTTTTCTAGTTTCATGACAATAACTTGTGTGTAAGTGTATGGATCTTTCTGAAATTGTACTACAAGGTTCCATATCACAAAGGGAAAGCTGGAATTGAGTTTGGGGGTAATTGCCGAAACGTTTAGGAATTGGGGGCCAAAAAAGGGGCCAAAAATAAGCATTTTTCTAGTTTCCAGACAATAACTTGTGTTCAAGCGTATAGATCTCTCTGAAATTGTACTGCAAGGTACTATACCACAAAGGGAAGGCTGGGATTGATGATGGGGGTAATTGCCTCAATATTTTAGGAATTAGGGGCCAAAAAGGGGCAAAAAACAAGTATTTTTCTAGTTTCAGGACAATAACTTGTGTGTAAGTGTATGGATCTTTCTGAAATTGTACTACAAGGTTCCATATCACAAAGGGAAAGCTGGGTTTGAGATTGGGGGTAATTGCCCTAAACATTTAGGAATTAGGGGCCAAAAAGGGGCCAAAAACACATTTTTCTAGTTTCCAGACAATAACTTGTGTTCAAGTGTATGGATCTCTCTGAAATTGTACTGCAAGGTACCATACCACAAAGGGAAGGCTGGGATTGAGTTTGGGGGTGATAAATCATAAGGGGGTTCAAAAAATTTTGGGGGGGGGGGATTTTTTTTTTTTTCCTTTTTTTTTTCTTTCAAAATTTTCCATTTTAAGTTGATTATTTCTGATTTGTATTTAAAAGCAAATAATAATGATATGGTAGGAGATACACACCAAACAGGATGTGTAAATTATTATATAAGTATTGTGCAATAGCAAGAAATTTTCAATTGCACAGTATTGCACAATAGCAAGAAATCTTCAATTGCACAGTATTGCGCAATAGCAAGAAATATCCAATAGCACAATATTGCGCAATAGCAAGAAATTGTCAATTGTACAGTATTGCGTAATAGCAAGAAATATTTAATTGCACAGTATTGTGCAAAAGAAGATACTACGTATAAATTGCTTATTTCTTGACCAATTTCAATGGGGTTTTATTCTTGAATTCTTGGGGTTCTTTAATATGCTGAATCTAATCGTGTATTTAGTTTTTGGATTTTGGGCCCCGTTTTTAAATTGGTCCACATTGAGGTCTAAAGGGTCCAAATTTAAACTTTGTTTGATTTCATCAAAAATTGAATTATTGGGGTTCTTTGATATGCCGAATCTAACCGTGTATTTAGATTCTTAATTTTTGGTTCCGTTTTCAAATTGGTCTACATTAAGGTCCAAAGGGTCCAAAATTAAACTTAGTTTGATTTTAACAAAAATTGAATACTTAGGGTTCTTTGATATGCTGAATCTAAACATGTATTTAGATTTTTGATTATGAGCCCAGTTTTCAAGTTGGTCCAAATCGGGGTCCAAAATTAAACTTTGTTTGATTTCAACAAAAATTGAATATATAGGGGTTCTTTGATATGCTGAATCTAACCATGTATTTAGATTTTTGATTTTTGGGCCCCGTTATCAATTTTGTCCACATTGAGGTCAAAAGGGTCCAAAATTAAACTTTGTTTGATTTCATCAAAAATTGAATTCTTGCGGTTCTTTGATATGCTGAATCTAACCATGTATTTAGATTTTGGATATTGGACCATAATAGGTGAATGTCCAATTTAAAATTTTTAAGTTCTTAGACCACATTCATTCTGTGTCAGAAACCTATGCTGTGTCAAATATTGAATCACAATCCAAATGCAAAGCTGTATCAAGCTTAAATGTTGTGTCCATACTTGCCCCAACTGTTCAGGGTTCGACCTCTGCGGTTGTATCAAGCTGCGCCCTGCCTAGCATTTTATTTAAATTTATTAAAATTGCTTTATATGCTATTTTATATATATTTTAATAAAAAAAATGTTCACTGCATTATTAACTAAACTCAAGTGACACCATAAATCTATACGAGGCTTAAGTTAATGGTGAAAATTGTCCAGTAACCATAAAATATATCTGAAACATTCAAAAAATTTTGAATAACATTGAAAATATTAGTCACAATTCAGTTTTGAGATTATTTGATCAGCTTGTTTTATTTTTATTTTAAAGGTGATAAATATGTATGTATATAAGATTAGTGTTGATGAATATGGTGATGAAGTTATATTAGGTTTGTTGTGAAATTTTGGTTTGAATGCTATATTGAATACATTTTTAATTTCAAATTATTGTTCAAATTTCTTGTCAGGGGAAATAGCTGTTGTTAAAAACAGTTCCTAAATTGATGAAATACAATAGATAGATACAAAAAATAGGTCTAGGTTGGTTAAGACTTGGTCGAGTATGGTTCAGACTAGGTCGAGTATGGTTCAGACCTGGTCGAGCATGGTTCAGACTAGGTCAAGCATGGTTCAGACGCGTATAAAATGGTTAAGTACTGGTCGAGTAAGGGTCGAGTACAAGTTCAGACTGTTGAGTATGGTTCAGACTACAGTCGACTATTATCAAGTAAATTTCAGACCAATTCAGACTGGTCGAGTAAAAATCAGTACAGTCGAGTACAGATATAGGCCATTTCAGACTTTTACTGGTTTGTAGTGTTTTCATCATGCTTGAAGATATTGACTTGATATTTGTTATATAGTTAACACCATGACAAGTTATAGATCAAATTAGCATTTTGTTCCAGTACAATGAATTTTTAACCGGTAGGGGACTATTTATTGCCATGCAATAGTCTCAGAATGCTTGTTATTTATGATGTAATTTAACCCATTTAAAGGAAACTGTCCTATTGAAACATATAATCAGTCCTTAAGGTGTTTAATTAGGGCCCGCAGATTGGCGGACGCCCTATAGTGGTCAGTCTGTCCGTCCGTCTGTCCGTCTGTAACAAATTGTGTCTGCTCTATATCTAGAGAACCGTTATGATTTTAAAGTTTATACTTGACATGTATATTAACCAACACCAGAGGGTGTGTCATAATGTATGTACAACTTCCTAGGTCAAAGGTCAAGGTAAAAAACTTTGGTTTTAGTTGACAACCCCATGTCCTATGGTAAAGATCGTGTCTGCTCTGTATCTTGAGAACCGTTATGATTTCAAAGTTTATACTTGACATGTATATAAACCAACACCAGAGGGTGTGTCATAATTTATGTACAACTTCTTAGGTCAAAGGTCAAGGTCAAAAACTTTGGTTTTAGTTGACAACCCCATGTCCTATGGTAAAGATCGTGTCCGCTCTATATCTTGAGAACCGTTATGATTTCAAAGTTTATACTTGACATGTATATAAACCAACACCAGGGGGGGGTGTCATAATTTATGTACAACTTCCTTGGTCAAAGGTCAAGGTCAAAAACTTTGGTTTCAGTTGACGACCCCATGTCCAATGATAAAGATACAAATTTTTTACCACACATTATTCACAGCGTGGCCCACAGAGATGGCTCCCATCTCAATGATATCTAGTTTTTACAGGTCTCACTATGATTGAGATTACCTTAATATGTTTTCATAATTCAGAATTTTTAACAGACTTAAGGTACAATGAAGGCGTACTGATGTAGTAATTTAATTTCTTTAAAAAAGTTTATACTCAAGAGTTGTTATCTTTTACATTTTAATTTTTTGTTTTTGCATTGACCTATAGTTTGTTTCTCTTACAGGAACTTTTAGTCTACATAGCACATGAGGGAATGTTTACTGCAGACTTATTTAGACGTCCTGGAAATCCCAGTGACACAAGAAGAATTGTAAAGAGATTGTCAGAGGGCAAACCTGTTATTTTCCAGAATTACAATTTGTATACATTAGCTTCAGTTGTAAAGGTAACTGTCAATCACAGCCCTACAATTATTCTTTTACATTTTATATTATGCCTACTCCCATACCTCCCACTTTAGGAGAGGGAAGGCTATTTTGCGTCAACTTGATTTTTCCTTGCTTGATTGGAACAAAAAACCCTAGTGCGTCACTGATGAGTCTTTTGTAGACAAATTGTGCGTCTGGCATACCAAATTTTAATCCTGGTATCTATGATGAGTTTATTTACAACCACTGGGTCGATGCCACTGCTGGTGGAGTTTTTCTCCCTGAGAATATCACTAGCCCAGTAGTCAACACTTTCTAACCCAGGAATAGATTACCTTAGCTGTATTTGGCAAAACCTTTCAGAATTTTGGGTCCTCAATGCTCTTCAACTTCGAACTTTATTGGTCTTATTAGTTATTTAGAAGATGAAATGCGCCTCTGGCATACAAAATTTTAATCCTGGTATCTATGATGAGTTTATTATACAGCTAAAAAATATAGGGAATAGGAAGAATATAAAAATAAGGAGATGTGGTATGATTGCCAATGAGACAACTGTCCACCAAAGTTAAAATGAAGTGGATGTAAGCAATTATAGGCAACCGTACGGCCTTCAACAATGAGAAAAACCCATACTGTATAGTCAGCTATAAAAGGCCACAACATGAAAATATGAAACAATTCAATTGAGAAAACTAATAGCCTAATTTATAATAAAACAGTTAACGAAAAAAATCAGTTGAAAAAGGCTTAACTCATCAGATCGAATACAAAGAAAAACAAACAATAGCACAGACAGGACGTGGCAGGGTATATATATATCCCTCATCCCTAACAACAAAAAAGACACTTTAGGTACAGATTTTAGAGTACTTGCAGTTACTGACAGCTAGTTCAATGCCAATAACAACTAATGAAAAAAAATCATGTATCTAAGACTAAACTATCAATTTTAGCTTTAGGTCAAAGTTCAAGGTGACTGTAAATAGAAATAGAATTTTTATGGAAAAATGGTTTCCAGATAGTTACTTGAGTTTCACTTGCGTGATTGGAATGAACCTTTAAAAGATGAAAGATATAGGAAAGGCATCTACTGATTTTGGGGTCAATATCGAAGTTCAAGGTCACTGTTACTAAAAAAAAAAAAAAAGAGTTTCTTTTAAATAGTTTGTAATTACAAGTTGCGGTTACCTTGACTGATTGGAATGAATTATATTACAAATTGCCAATTAAGTTAGCATTTTGTTCCAGTACAATGAATTTTTAACAAGTAGGGGACTATGTATTGCCATAATCCATGCAATACTCTCAGAATACTTGTGATATTTGGTATGCAGTTATATTAGCATTAGCACATCTAATTTCAATGGAGATTATTTTGGCCCCGCCTCCTCATACATGGTCTATAGACTGAATATTGTGCATAGTTTTCATGTTAAAGCTGTGAATAGATCAGTTTAAAATAAACCATTAATATTAAGTCTTGAATGTTGGTATGCAGTTGTATATTAGCATTTGCAAGTCTCATTTCCATAGAGATTATATGGCCCCCCTCTATCATCATGGTTCATTGACTTTGAAATGTTTGTATATTTTGCAAGTTAGTTAGTTTAAAGGGAACCACTTATGATAAGTCAATAATATTTGGTATGCAGCTTTATAAGCATTGGCATTTCTCATTTCCATGGAGGTTTTTTTGCCCTGCACCTTCAATCCTGATTCATTGACTGTGACTGTTACCATTTTAATTTCAACATTTTCATTTTACATTTTGTATCAAAATTACAAAAAGCGAGACATATCTCTGAGTAAACAGTTTATTGAATCAATATTTAAAACTTAAAATTCATTGATTTTTTGGAAAAAAGTTGGTTTCCTTGTAGTGTAACCTATCCAAAAAAAAAATTAAGAAATATAATTGGCCACATGCGACCACACATGGTAGGTAAGCCAGGATCAAGGGAACCCCTGCCCAATTGGTAAAAGTTCATGCCTAAAGATTGTATATTGCAGCTCTGAAGAAAGTAATGGTAACAACTTTTATAGATACCACATACTTGTGCTGTCCTGGAAACATCTAATGGAAGTGTAATGTTAAAACATTCACTAATTCTCTTGCCTCAATTTATATGCCCCTGCCGTGGCGGGGGGGGGGGGGGGGGGGGGCATTAAGTTTTACCCTTGTCTGTCTGTATGTACGTACGTCCGTCCCAAAATTGGTTTCCGTTCTCTAACTTGAGTTTACCTCAATCAAATGTTATGAAACTTAAACACAATGCTTATTACCACAAAACACAGATGAAGTGTGAATTTTGGTGGCGTCACTTTAACTGTTCTATAGTTATGCCCCTTTATAAATGGAAAAATTGCTAAATTTTTAGTTTCCGTGTTCTAACTTAAGTTTGCCTCAACCAAATGTTATGAAACTTATACACAAGGCTTATTACCACAAAACACAGATCAAGTTTGAATTTTGATGGTGTCACTTTAACTGTTCTAGAGTTATGCCCCTTTATAAATGGAAAAATTGCTAAATTTTTAGTTTCCGTGTTCTAACTTAAGTTTGCCCCAACCAAATGTTATGAAACTCATACACAAGGCTTATTACCACAAAACACAGATCAAGTTTGAATTATTGTGGCATCACTTTAACGGTTCTAGAGTTATGCTCCTTTATAAATGGAAAAATTGCTAAATTTTTATTTTCTTCTAAATGTCAAGTAATTTTTAAAATTGGAGTTATCTTCCTTTGTCCATGATTATAGTTGAATCAACTACGATCAATGCTTTATTCAATGCAATGTTTAATTTTGACTTCCACTGATAAAACACAGATCAAGTTGAATTTGGGTAGTGTCACTTTAACCATTATTGAGTTATGCCCCTTTATAAATCGAAAGATTGCAAAATTTTTAGTTTCCATTCTGTAACTTAAGTTTGCCCCAACCAAACATTATGAAACCTATACACAATATTCATTACCACAAAACTAAGATCAAGTACAAATTTTTTGTTTCCGTTTTCTAACTTTAGTTTGCCTCAACCAAATGTTATGAAACTTATACACAATGCTTATTACTACATAATACAGATTAAGTACGAAATTTTGTGGCGTCACTTTTACCATTCTTGAGTTATGTCCCTTTATAAACATAAAAATTGCTGAATTTTTCGTTTCCGTTCTCTAACTTTAGTTTGTCTCAACCAAATGTTATAAAACTTGTACACAACCGTTCTAGAGTTATTCGTGTTTACAAATAGAGAAATTTCTGAATTTTTAGTTTCTGTTCTCTACTTAAGTTAACCTCATCCAAATGTTATGAGACTTACACACAATGCTTATTACCACAAAACTCAGATCAAGTTCAAATTTGGGTAGCGTCACTTTTACCGTTCTACAGTTATGTCCCTTTATAACTATATGATATGCAAGCGGGGGCATCATCTGTGTCCACATGTGGACACTATCCACATTTATTGTTCTTTCAACCTCTTCGTGTATATTCAAGAGAGCTAGAACTTACTTATTGCAAGATCTTAAGAGTAAAAGATTTTGCGGTCTTATATTGGTATGACGTTGGCGGCGTCGTCGTCGTCGTCCGAAGACACATTGGTTTTCACACTCTAACTTTAGTTTAAGTGAATGAATCTCTATGAAATTTTACCATAAGGTTCAATACCACAAAATGAAGGTTGGGATTGATTTTGGGGGTTATGGTACCAACAGTTAAGGAATTAGGGGCCAAAAAGGGGCCAAAAATAAGCATTTTTGTAACTTCCATTGTACCACAAGGTTCCATATCACAAAGGGAATGCTGGGATTGATTTTGGGGGTAATTGCCTCAAAATTTTAGGAATTAGGGGCCAAAAAAGGGGCAAAAAACAAGCATTTTTCTAGTTTCATGACAATAACTTGTGTGTAAGTGTATGGATCTTTCTGAAATTGTACTACAAGGTTCCATATCACAAAGTAAAAGCTGGAATTGAGGTTGGGGGTAATTGCCCAAAATATTTAGGAATAAGGGGCCAAAAATAAGCATTTTTCCAGTTTCCAGACAATAACTTGTGTTCAAGTGTATGGATCTCTCTGAAATTGTACTGCAAGGTACCATACCACAAAGGGAAGGCTGGGATTGATTTTGGGGATAATTGCCTCAAAATTTTAGGAATTAAGGGCTAAAAATGTTCAAAAAACAAGCATTTTTCTAGTTTCAGGATAATAACTTGTGTGTAAGTGTATGGATTTTTATGAAATTGTACTACAAGGTTCCATATCACAAAGGGAAAGCTGGGTTTGAGTTTGGGGGTAATTGCCTTAATTGTTAAGGAATTTGGAGCCAAAAAGGGGCCAAATAACAAGCATTTTTCTAGTTTCCAGACAATAACTTGTGTTCAAGTGTATGGATCTCTCTGAAATTGTACTGCAAGGTACCATACCACAAAGGGAAGGCTGGAATTGAGTTTAGGGGTGATGAATCATAAGGGGGTTAAAAAAATTGAGGGGGGGCTTTTTTGTTTCCTTTTTTTTTCTTTAAAATTTTCCATTTTAAATTGGTTATTTCTGATTTATATATAAAAGCAAATGATAATGATATGGTTTGAATAGGTAAATTAAAATTTTTTAAGTTCTTAGACCACATTCATTCTGTGTCAGAAACCTATGCTGTGTCAAATATTTAATCACAATCCAAATTCAGTGCTGTATCAAGCTTGAATGTTGTGTCCATACCAAGGCTTCCAAAACGGTCATATATGCCGGACACTTGTATAATGTCCGGTAAAAGTCAGGCTGGGCAAAGCATGAAACGGTCATCTACTTTTTAGTTTTCAAGGCTTTAAGAGACGGTCATTTTAACAGAATTCGCGATCTTTTTGACCCAACGTTTTGCCTTTAACAGCAACACATTTCCGGTCATAAAAGTGACATGATCATTAAGTACTATCAAAACAACCCCTTCTTTAATACCTTATCATTTTAATCAAGGCTAATTAGTTGTCGAACAGCTGAAATTTACCTGTTCAAGTGACAGGTAAACTATTTTGAACCGGACATTGATCGGTCTATTCAAAGTTATTTTCTTACATTTCAGCGGTTTGCATCTAATTAATTAAGTCAAAAAGATTTAAATTATCAGAAATACGTTTACAATTATGATTTGATGAAAAAATTAAAAAGGTAAAAATGAAACATCGTCATAACCACGTTGTTTGAACTAGTACACTTGTGCGCAGGTGTGAAATTTAATTATGCATCCTAATTTCTTCAAAAAATGCTTAAATTGTCATTGATACCTTTATCTCATGTTTGTTTCGAATATTTTCTTGAAGAAATAATGTAGAAGGAGCTACTTCCACTCATTCATGCTTTGCAAATGTACACAGAATTTACGTATCCGTCTCTGGTCCATGTTTTACCATTGTCAGGATAACATCCGGTAGATTAAAAACGAAAGTAAAGTTTTTGACAACGTTATTTTGCACAAATAAAGAGTCTAAGGCAAATATAAGTACCGTACGCTGATGTAATTTATTGTTGCACACTTCGAATGATGCACTGCCAATTTTAATAACTTCGAATTTGAATCAAAGAAAGTTTAATATCGTTTTTTTCATGTCAATCATTGGAATGGCCAACTCGGCAACTGATTACCATAATTGCCCTTTGTTTATTTACTCTTAAAATGAAAATCGGGATAATATATAAAATGTCCGGCTGGCTAAAAATAATTTTGAAAGCCCTTGTCCATACTTGCCCCAACTGTTCAGGGTTCGACCTCTACGGTCATATCAAGCTGCGCCCAGCGGAGCATTTTATTTTATAATTATAACCCCGCTTTAAAAAAGTGGGGGTATACTGTTTTATTATACCCCGCTTTGAAAAAGGGGGTATACTGTTTTACCTCTGTCTGTCCTTCCGTCAGTCCATCTGTCAGTCCATCCGTCAGTCCATCCGTCCCATGAATATTTTCGTCGCATTTTCTCAGGAACTACTTGACAAGGATTTCTGAAATTTGGTTTCCGGGTTTATAAAAGTAAGTTACACCGTGTGATGTGGTATCAGATTCATCACTCAACAACTTCCTGTTTACCGAACACTTGTATTATTTTACACATGATAGCCAAGTTGAAAGTTTTCGTCACATTTTTCTCAGGAACTACTTGACAAGGATTTCTGAAATTTGGTTTCAGGGTTTATATAAGTAAGTTACACTGTGTGATGTGTTTTCAGATTCATCACTCAACAACTTCCTGTTTACTGAACACTTGTATTATTTTACACATGATAGCCAAGTTGAAAATTTTTGTCACATTTTTCTCAGGAACTACTTGACAAGGATTTCTGAAATTTGGTTTCAGGGTTTATATAAGTCAGCTATACCGTGTAATGCGTTTTCAGATTCATCACTCAACAACTTCCTGTTTACCGAAATATTTCGGCGGGGGTGTCATCATTGAGCAGTAGCTTACAGTTTTACTTGTTGTTAATGTTACTACTATGATGTGCCCTTGTTTAAAAGATTATCCTGTGCATATCTATTTGTTCAGTATATTATTTGTTGTTTTTCTGAATAATTTTTGCTTAATTTCATGCTTTTATGGTACATTTTGTCCATAAGTGCTTTCAGGTGTTTGTCTTTCTGATAATAATGATCAATATAATGCCTAGCCTGTCTTCTTTCATTTTTTGTAATTCACTGTTGCTGTATACTATTTCTTTTTGATTAAATGAATATTTGTTTCCTTATTTTGACCTTTTATTTCTGTCAGGTCATTTGTTTGATTTATAATACATGCAGAAATGAATATATTTGAATCTTAAGAAGAGATTTTATAGAATTTATAGAGTTAAATATACTTACCACATGTTTTGATTTTTGCAATGAGAACATGTTATAAGCAAAACATTTTCTATATATAGACAGTATAAAGTATATTAATGTTAAATTCACGTAAAATTAATTTGCACTGAATTCACTGTAACTCTACTTACAGTTAAATTTCATTAATCCTTATTGCATAATAAACATGTTTCTCCAACAAGAACTTTCTACCTGTATACAAAAATACCAAAAATTTTGAATTCATGTTAGGAGGTTGACAGATATATGGTTTTAGCCTCTAGAACTGATATAGCTGGTATAAGAGATATACAACCAGTGAATTGATCTGATTTATATTAATACAGAAATTTTTGCTGAGACTACCAGGTGGTATATTTGGTCCTGAAGGTGAAGAGACACTTCTACATGTTTTAGCCATTGGCCATAAAATGGAACAGTATGAAGCTGTAAACAAGTAAGATACCAATGTTATGTGATAAATGACATTTTCAGTAACCATGGAAACTGACTGATGACACCTACAACTTCATAGTTACAAATTTGCAGGGCTTGCATCTAGATGATGTGACCATTGATAGAATCAGAATTAAAGTGTATGACCCCATTTTGAAGCCAGAGAAATTAAAAAAAAATTATTGCAAATCATCTAAGAAATCATATAAATAGTCAGTTACTACAAAAATTTGGGAAAATTAAACCTTTATATAGCTGGTTATAGTTGATTACCCCAACTGAACTTAAATATGGCAGCCACATTTACCAAAAAAATAAAATTTTGACAAAAAACAAAATCAAGGCAAAAAATAAAAATAATTTCAAAGGACTGTATTTTACTTATATGTAGAATAAGCATTGTTTATAAAAACAAGCATTCCATCTTACAAACATAATTAATATCTTGTGAAAGATGCTGACATCATGGATACATTTAACATACACAGACCACCTGTTATATCTTGAAAATAATTTGTATGGTATTTGACACTTTGAAGTTACAAATGGAATCTCACCAGGAGGCACACTAATCTTTTCTTAATCAGATACATGTCACAAACAATCACTCTTGGTGAGGCAATGCAGATTAAGATACCAGATCTTTTGAAAAAGTTATTACACAGCAATTAATATATTATCTGAAGGCCAGTGAGGTCAGTCTCCTCCCACTATATGATTGATGTACCCAATCTGTGTGTAAAGCCATATGCATGGTCTTTGTATAGTCAATTTCTTGGTTCATAGCAGTCTGACTAGTTGATATATTTTACAGTGCTTTTATTCAATTTACCACCCATCATCCCCTTCCTAACACCTTCAATAATGTTTCATGACAAGGGAAACATCTCAGCATTTTTACCAGTAATGTATTTTTTTTTATATATATTTCCTTGATGGAATTTTATCACTGGTCATTTCTAAAATTTCATTCATCCCCCAAGCATTTCGGGGACAGATTTTGTCAAATTTATTCCAGCGCCAGTTTGATAGACCCCTGCTACTGTACCAGCACATGGGCTATCCCCTTTCAGACCTTGCACACCCCCGCTGCAGATGAGATGTCTAGTCTCATCCCCTCGTGGAGACCCCTCGCTCCACATTCCCTGGCTGGCGCATTGTCGGGCAGGCAGGTTCTTCCTCATACTGAAGGTTGCAAGCTGACTTGCTCAGGCAGGAACTCAAAATTCTATTTGTATGCTGAGTGTTTCTCAAGGGCCAAAACTAGTTTGATTTTAGTGTTATTGATACTAAAATTATTATTTATTCTACATATCTTTCTGCTTTGAGCCGGTATGCTTTTCTGAGACTATGTTTTGGTTTACACACAGAAACCCCTTATGTAAAACATGCTTTAGTTTGTTTGGAGCTGGTATTTGGTCTACAATGATCAATTATGGGAGTTGTTGTCTTGACTTTAAGGTAGATCATAGGTATATATTTCCTCAGATAGAATTTTTTTATACGTTGCCAAAATAAAGATTTTTCTATGCTTTTTCCAAAAATATAATAAAAGTATGGGTCACCGTGCTATTTTTCAAGCTACGGGTTGTACGAAATTGCACAAATTTGCTTAGATTGTTCATGAAAAAACACATTTTTGTCGAGCCTCCGACTTTTGTCGCAGAAAGCTCGACATAGGGATAGTGATCCGGTGGCGGCGTTAGCTAACTTCTTAAAAGCTTTTATATTTTAGAAGGTGGAAGATCTGGATGCTTCATACTTTGTATATGGATGCCCCATGTTACGAAGTTTCTGTCAGTCACATTTCCAATGTCCTTGACCTCATTTTCATGGTTCAGTGACTACTTGAAAAAAAGTTAAGATTTTTTGTAATGTTAAATTCTCTCTTATTATAAGTAATAGGATAACTATATTTGGTATGTGTGTACCTTGCAAGGTCCTTATGCCCATCAAACAGTTTTCACTTGACATCGACCTCATTTCATGGATCAGTGAACAAGGTTAAGTTTTGGTGGTCAAGTCCATATCTCAGATACTATAAGCAATAGGTCTAGTATATTCGGTGTATGGAAGGACTGTAAGGTGTACATGTCCAACTGGCAGGTTTCATCCGACCTTGACCTCATTTTCATGGTTCAGTGGTTATAGTTAAGTTTTTGAGTTTTGGTCTCTTTTTCTTATACTGTATGCAATAGGTCTACTATATTTGGTGTATGGAATGATTGTAAGGTGTACATGTCTAGCTGGCAGGTGTCATCTGACCTTGACCTCATTTTCATGGTTCTGTGGTCAAAGTTAAGTTTTTGAGTTTTGGTCTTTTTTTCTAATACTATATGCAATAGTTCAACTATAGTTGGTGTATGGAAATATTTTATGATCTATATGTCAGTCACGCAGGTTTTATTTGACCTTGACCTCATTTTCAAGGTTCATTGCTCAGTGTTAAGTTTTTTGTGTTTTGGTCTGTTTTTCTTAAACTATAAGCAATAGGTCAACTATATTTGTTGTATGGAAGAATTGTTAGCTGTACATGCCTGCTTAGCATGGTTTATCTGACCTTGACCTCATTTTCATGGTTCATTGGTCAATGTTTAGTTTACTTGGTTAATGTTAAGTTTATGTGACAGTTGTAATAAAGCTTTATATTTAGGACCATCAACATAATATCAATGATTAGTAAAGAAGGCGAGACATTTCAGCGTGTGCACTCTTGTTGTGCTTAAAAAGAAATCTTTGAGATAGAATTTTAAATAGATCTATTAAATTCATGTAATTTATACCATGTTTATAATAGCAATTGTTTTGTTTGTCTTGATGAATTGTTCAAACGGAAGAGGTAAATCACAGAAGCCTATTTTGGTTCTCTTAGCTTACTCAAGTATTGGATCACAGAAGTATTAAAAAGGGGAGTGGTCACATGTCAATAAGTGGAGGAGGAAGGAGCCAAACCTTATATTATATTAATTTTTATACGCTCGTTTACTAAACGTATTATGGTATACCGTTGTCCGTCTGTCTGCCCGTCCGTCTGTATGTCCGTCTGTCCGTCCGTCGTCAACATGTCTGACATTAACTCAAAAACGCTTTAACCAATTTGCATAAAACTTTGGTGAATTGTTTATATCTATTTACGTGAGCTCTCTTTTGTTTTTTATAAATTTTAAATTTTAAGTTTCCGAGTTATGGGGTTTTATTCATTAAAAAAAGGGGGATTTTCCAGTTTTCGGACAATAACTCAAGAATGCTTTCACCAACTTGCAAGAGATTTTGATGAATTGTTTATATCTATTGACATGAGCTTCCTTTAAATTTTTATAAATTTTAGATTTTACGTTTCCGAGTTACAGGGTTTTATTCATAAAAAAAGGGGGATTTTCCAGTTTTCCCACAAAAACTCAAAAATGCTTTCAGCAGTTCTTATAAAACTTTGGTGAATTGTTTATATCTATTTAAGTAAGCTCCCTTTTGAATTTTATAAATTTTACATTTTACATTTCTTAGTTATGGGGTTATATTCATTAAAAAAGTGGGGATTTTCCAGTATTCGGACAATGACTCAAAAATGCTGTCAGCAATTCTCATGAAACTTTGGTGAATTGTTTATATCTATTGATGTAAGCTCCCTTTTGATTTTCATAAATTTCTAATATGACATTGAGAATTAATTGAACTTTATTGATCTTTATTCTTTGAAAATGTGACGGGCGTATCATGCGTCTAGTTTCCAGACAAGAATTAACTTGTGTTTAAGTGTATGGATCTCTATGAAATTGTACTACAAGGTTCCATACCACAAAGGGAAGGCTGGGATTGAGTTTGGGGGAAATTGCCCCAAACGTTTAGAAATTAGGGGCAAAAAAGAGGCTAAAAACAAGCATTTTTCTAGTTTCCAGACAATAACTTGTGTTAAAGTTTATGGAACTCTCTGAAATTGTACATTTTTCCTAAAAAGAAAATCTTCAAAATCTAAAAAAAAAATTGGTGGGGGTTTCAAAAATGTTTGGGTGGGGGATTTTTTTTTCAATTTTTTTTGGGGGGTTCATATTGTTTTCTTCAAAATTTTTGAAATATGAAATTTTTTGACTTTTTTTTATTGCCCCCCCCCCCCCCCCCCCAATAAAAAATTTCAAAATATTTGAAGGGGGGGATTTTTTTTTGGGGGGGGGGGGGGGGGGTCATTCTTTTTTTCTTCAAGAGTTTTTTATTTTTATTCCCAAAAATTTTCCATTTTTACATTGATTATTTCTGATTTATATATAAAAGCAACAAATACTGATATGGCAGGAGATACACACCAAACAGGGTGTGTAAATTATTATATATAACAGATTAACTAAGTGTTGTGCAACAGCACAGTATTGTGCAATAGCACAGTATTGCGCAATAGCAAGAAATCTTCAATTGAAAATAAATACAAATCTTTTAACTTATTTCAATGGGATTAAATTAAGTCTTTCATTTTTGGGGGTTCTAACCTTGTATTACTTTTTTTGGATATTGGGCCCCATTTTTAAATTGGTCTACATTGAGGCCCAAAGGGTCCAAAATTAAACTTTGTTTGATTTCATGAAAAACTGAATTGTTGCCGCTCTATGATATGCTGAAACTTATTGTGCATTTAGATTTTTTATTTTGGGCCCTGTTTTCAAATTAGTCCATATTAAGGTTTGAAGGGTCCAAAATTAAACTTTGTTTGATTTCAACTAAAATTAAATTTTTGGTGTTTTACTATGATGAATCTAACCATGTTGTTAGATTTTGGATATCAGACCATACTAGGTAAATTAAATGTCCCATTTCAAATTTTTAAGATCTTTGACCACATTTATTTTGTGTCAGAAACCTATATTATGTCAAAAATTTGATCACAATCCAAATTTAGACAGTATCAAGCTTGAATATTGTGTCCAAACTTGCCCCAACTGTTCAGGGTTCGACCTCTGTGGTTGTATCAGGCTGCCCTTGGCGAAGCATTTTATTGATTTTGGGACCGTTTTTCAAACTGGACCCCATGAAGGTCCAAAGTATCCAAAAATAAAATTTAGTTTGATTTGAACAATAAATGAAACAATGTGGTTATTTGATATGCTGAATCCAACCATGTATTTAGAATTTGAATATTGGACCATAATTGGTAAATGTCCAATTTTAAAATTATTTAAGAACTTATACCACATTCATTCTGTGTCAGAAACTATGCTATTATTACATATTTGCTCAGAATCAAAATTCAGAGATGTTATTGCACAATTAAAAGAAATTTTACGTTGGGTCATATCTAATTTTAAGAGAACTATTTTTGTGGTTTACATCAATGGTTCATGGAAAATAAATTGGTTCACAGACAATAGCTTTAGAATAAGTGTATTGATGTGTAAAAATTTTTAGCACAAGGTTCCATACCACAATAGGAGGGTTGGGATATTAAATAGTTAATCAAGCTCTACATTTATAGATTTAATGCACAACTAATACAAATTTTAAATTGAGTCATAGTTTAAAATAGATTTGCTGATTCAGATATATTAATTGTGGCGATAATTGTGTATGAATTGTGTTCTATTTAAAGATTGTTAACATGTTTGAATATTTTCTTATGGTTGAAAATTCTATTGGAATTTTAAATAGACCTTTGTCCATCTGTTGAAGTGGAAGTGTAAGCAAGTGAAGTTTTTAAATACAATTGTGCCATATATGATGTTATGTTACATCTTAATATAGAAAAATGTTATTTTTAACCGGATTTTCGAGGGAAATATGGGTTATTGTTTTGGGGATATACGGCGGGCGGGCGGACGGGCGGCTGCCAAACAGTGTCTCTTCAATAACAGGAAAACACTGTGATGATTTTTTTTCAAGTTAAGATATGTTGTTTCTTGTGACTAAATGAAGGTCAAGTTCAATTTTCACGATTTTAGTATTTCTCCTTTTTGAGTTATCGCCATTTTTAATATCCAAAAGTGGTATTTTTCAATATTTTTGTCTTGTTATCATATTATGACTAAGCATAGTAAATGTCAAAATAAAAATTGCAGTGACAGATTTATTTGAAACTTTTCTATTTCCTAAGTGGTGATGATTATAAGCTACATTATTAGACATTTTGAAGTTAATTTCATTATGTAATTATTATATATGTAATGTTAGAGTACTATGTTAAACCATAGTTCTTTTCAAAGGGAAATAACCCTTCAGATTTGCAAATATGATTTTCATTATTAATTAGATCTGGGAAATATCTTAGCATATGATAATCATTGGAGTGACATATTTATTTGAAAATTTTCTGTTTCCTGATAAGATCTGTAGGACTGTATATATAAAGTTTGAAATTTACTAGTAGGACTTTATAAATGAAGTTTGAAATTTACTGTTCATTATTAGACATTTTGTAGATAATTAAGTCTCCCTAAACCATATATATTCTTACCCCCACCCGCTTCAATTTGAGAATGTGCTTTTATCTTGTAAACAGTCCAGATCCCCACCCCTAAACCATCTATATTCTTGTATGGGACAATAAAACAAATCAAATGAAATATTGGGGGAGTCCCTGGTTCACCCCCACCCCTTCCTGTTTAAGACCTTGTAAACAGTCTAGATCCCCACCCCTAAACCATCTATATTCTTGTATGGGACAATAAAACAAATCAAATGAAAAGCGCGAGTCCCCTGGGGATCACACCCCCCCCCCCCCCCCCCTTTGAGAACATGTAAACGGTGGAGATCTCCATCCCTTAACAACCATATATATTCCTGTTCGTCATTTCAAGAAGATTTGAATGACATACAGGGTCAATCCATAGGCGGTCAAGATCCCCACCCCTAAACCATCTATATTCTTGTATGGGACAATAAAACAAATCAAATGAAAAGCGCGAGTCCCCTGGGGATCACACCCCCCCCACCCCTTTGAGAACATGTAAATGGTGGAGATCTCCATCCCTTAACAACCATATATATTCCTGTTCGTCATTTCAAGAAGATTTGAATGACATACAGGGTCAATCCATAGGCGGTCAAGATCCCCACCCCTAAACCATATATATTCTTGTATGGGACAATAAAAAAATCAAAATGAAATATAGGGGAAGTCCCCTGGGGTAACCCCCACCCCCTTTCTTTTCGAAAACTTGTAAACGGTCAAGATCCCCATCCCGAAGCCATATATATTCTTGTATGGGACAATAAAACAAATCAAATGAAATAAAAGGTGAGTCCCCATGGGTCACCCCCACCCCCTCCTGTTTAAGAACTTGTAAACAGTCGAAATCCCCACCCCTAAACAATATATATTCTTGTATGGGACAATAAAACAATCAAATGAAATAAAGGGCGCTTCCCCTGGAGATCACCCCCTACCCCCCTTTGAGAACTTGTAAACAACCATATATATTCCTGTTCGTCATTTCAAGAAGATTTGAATGACATACAGGGTCAATCCATTGGCGTCACTTATGCATATCACAAACCAATTTGTACTCGACTTTGTCCAATGTCAAGCTACCTATGAATGACGAATTATTGGAGCTTTGTTTGGGAGACTCCGTAACAGCATCCTGTTACAATGATTTCTTGTTACTGATAAGTTTTATAGATTTTGAAAAGACATTGTATTAATGATGAATAAAATTTTGGATCTTTTTCTTCTTTTCTTTGAACAATTGTTTGAAGAATTTTGTGGCAAGTTTGTTTGTTATTCTGTAAAAACTAATTTTCTGAATGCTATATGTTTTTTTTTTTGATGAAGTGAACTCCTTTAAAAACTAAGCTTATATTGTCTATTAATAAACATATATTTAGATTTCTGATTTTGGGCCCAGTTTTCAAGTTAGTCCAAATCGGGGTCCAAAATTAAACTGTGTTTGATTTCAACATAAATTGAATATATGTAGGGTTCTTTGAAATGCTTAATCTAAACCTGTATTTCTTTTCATTATTAATAAGATAATACCACATTGAGGTCCAAAGGATCCTAAATTAAACTTTTGTTTAATTATACCCCATGCAACGAGTTGCAGAGGGTATAATGTTTTTGACCCGTCCGTCTGTCCATCTGTCTGTCCGTCCATCTGTCCGCCCATCAGTCCGTCAGTCCTGTTTCTTGTCATCGCAACTCCTCTCAAACCACACAACAGAATTTCACGAAACCTTTTTAGATAATAAGGACATACTATGTAGTTGTGCATATCGACAGGAATTTACGATTCAATTTTTTTTCCAGGAGTTACGCCCCTTTGAACTTATTTGCCCAATATACTACTGCAACCTTTTGTCATCGCAACTCCTCTCAAACCACACAACAGAATTTCATGAAACCTTTTCAGATAATAAGGACATACTATGTAGATGTGCATATCGACAGGAAATTACGATTCAATTCTTTTTCTAGGAGTTACGCCCCTTTGAACTTATTTACTTTAATGGACTACTGCAACAGTTTGTCATCGCAACTCCTCTCAAACCACACAACAGAATTTCATGAAACCTTTTCAGATAATAAGGACATACTTCTTAGATGTGCATATTGACAGGAAATTACGATTCAATTTTTTTTCATAGAGTTAAGCCCCTTTGAACTTATTTGCCCAATATACTACTGCAACCTTTTGTCATCGCAACTCCTCTCAAACCACACAACAGAATTTCACGAAACCTTTTTAGATAATAAGGACATACTATGTAGTTGTGCAAATCGACAGGAAATTACGATTCAATTCTTTTTCTTGGAGTTAGGCTCCTTTGAACTTATTTACTTTAATGGACTACTGCAACAGTTTGTCATCGCAACTCCTCTCAAACCACACAACAGAATTTCATGAAACGTTTTCAGATAATAAGGACATACTACGTAGATGTGCATATTGACAGGAAATTATGATTCAATTTTTTTTTATTACACTTATTTTATTTCTCCAATGACAATGTGGGGACGTGGGGTATGTGAGCGCGCTCACTAAGGTTCTTTCATTTCATCAAAAATTTAATTCTTTGGTTCTTTGATATGCTGATTCTAACAATGTTTGAGTGTTAAATCATATATAATTTTAGAGAACTTAGTCATCACTGGTTGTTGTTATTATATTATTGATTATAATTTGAAAAATTGCATCATATCTTATTTCAGAGAACTTTTTATCCAGTTTGAGTTATTTCCCTTTGCACAGAAAATATTATGGATAAAATTAACCTGTGTTTCATTTCAACATAAATTAAATATATATAGGGTTCTTTCAAATGCTGAATCTAAACCTGTATTTATATTTTAGATTTTTGGGCCCAGTTTTCAAGTTGGTCCAAATCAGGGTCCAAAATTAAACTTTGTTTGATTCAACAAAAATTGAAATTATGGGGTTCTTTTAAATGCTGAATCTAACCATGTATTGAGAGATTTGGGATTGTGGGCTCCTTTATCAAATTGGTCCACATTGAGGTCCAAAGTGTCCTAAATTAAATTTTTGTCTGATTTCAACAAAAATTGAATTCTTGGGGTTCTTTGATATGTAATATGTACTTAGATTTTGGATATTGGACCATAATAGGTAAATGTCCAATTTCAAATATTTCAGTTCTTTGACCACATTCATTTTGTGTCACAAACCTATGCTGTGTCAAATATTCAATCACAATCCAAAGTCAGAGCTGTTTTAAGCTTAAATGTAGTGTCCATACTTGCTCAACTATGGACCTTTGCGGGAAAATCCAGTTTGCTGTCACTCTGACAGCCTACTGTTATATAATAATCTATTTTTATTAAAGGATATATTTCATTACAATACATTGTGTAGATGAAGTTATTGACATTGATAGATAAGTTGCAGATATTAGTTTGTGACAAATGAA